CCCCAAAGTGTTTGATAACTTTATTAACAGTTGTTAAATCCCCATGTGAGCAGGTAAGCTGAGTGCTAGTACTTCATGTTTTACACTGATATTATAGATCAAAGAGCTTGACAATTTCTCCTCAGACGATTCCTTGCCTTCCCCAAAGTGTTTGATAACTTTATTAACAGTTGTTAAATCCCTTTGTATCAATTTATGACATTCAGACGAATCCCTGCCTTCCCCATTTGAACAGAGAGGAGAAATGATGGGAAATGCAGTGACAAAACCACATCATAATGCTTTGTTGCCAGGCAAAATTAATGTTAGGCATTTCGTTATTTTAACGGCCCATGGATACAGTAACACAATTAGTTGTAGATGACAGTTCCGATGGTATCAGTGAATAGATTAAGAAAGATACTATTCATTAGAGGAAAGTGTAGGAGAGGAAAATGGTAAAGATTTAAGGAAGGGAAGTGATTGGCTTATGTCCCAGAAAAAATCATGGAAAGAATGGTGATAGACTGGGTGTGACGGTCTCGATTCCATCTTATGTGCATGTTTATTTTGTTTATTAAAATGATTATTGATTTATAATTAGTAGGAAAAGGGAGGGTATAGAATTAACCTTAGATATGAATGGAATTATTTGAGAATAAGTTATTATCAAAGACTATCTACGAAAGACCGGAAAGTCGAGCAAAATCCTGTGAGTAATGGGGCGTCGGCGCAATAGATGGCGTTAGTGAGCGTCATCTCATACCCATCTGTTTGTTTACATAGAAGCTCGAAAATTGTTATGATAGTTCCGACATTGCCAGGAAAGTCTTATCCTTGTTCTGCTTGTAAAAAACAAAAAGAAGAGAATAAACAACTTATATTTCATATTTTTTTCCAAGGAAAAAGAGAGGTTTGTAATTTTTTTTTTTTTTTTTTTTTTTTTTTTTATAGATATAACCTAAGATATGTGATGTTCAGATTGACAAGCAAGATAAAAATTGGATCACAAAAAAATATTTTGATTGGTAAAGGTGTCAAGTCATGACGCCCGTCTAAAAAAAGTACAGGCCAAAAATCGACTTAATAATATAGTGCAAGCCTTAATCTACAATTTGACGTAAGCTGACGATAGATTTGACATCAATAGAGTGAAAAAATTGTGTCAGGTTGATTTTGAGTTAGATTATAGTTATCACCTAAATCAGCATATATATTGATTGAACAATGATCATTACTTGGTAGATCTGTATAGTAGGAACAAACAGAAATATAGAAAAAAGTAAAATAAGTTCAAATGTTAACAGGACGACGACGGGTGGCCTGTTTCGAGCTCCTAGCCAGAGTATACAAGGTGTAGCAGGATGCATTCCAGGCAGCTCCTAGGAAAGTTAGGGGACAGTCCCCTAATCAAACATAAAAAAAAAAAAATAATGAGGAAATTAATCTCAAAATCATGCGGTCGCAATGCGAAGAATTTAAATAAAAATGTGTATTTCGGCCATTTATTTGTAAGGGTTTTGTTATTATTCTAATAAAGATATTGTAATAATTTTCTTTAATTTATCATACTCAATTTCTATGTATTGATGCATGTTTGGCAATATAATCATATACATTATATGTCACTAATGTTATGTGACTGTAGGCCTATAAGTTCACTAATGTTATGTGACTGTAGGCCTATAAGTTCACTGTGCCACGTGGTTTAATGTGTCCTGTATATGGCATATTGTATACGCCGTATGCATGCCGTGCATATATGAACTACCAATTTACAGTTGTTAGCCAGCCCTAAATTGCCGAATGGATAGGTTCGGGCTAGGAGGAGCGAAGGAATTATAGGAAGAAAATAAATGCTACTACAAAGTCATGATACATATTATATATATGTATATATATATATATATAATATATATATATATATATATATTTATTAGTAAATAAGCTATTCATAACCACCTCAGAATAAGTCTGAACTGACCAAGAACATGAGCTCGAGTGAGCACACCCCCACTGAACGACGTCGGACGTTTAGTTGGGCGTCGAGTCAACAGATGGCGCTGGTGGACGACCGGGGAGCTCACATTTTTTTGAATGCGTTAGATAGCATGTTTCCTGTCTTTCGTATATAGTCTTTGGTTATTATGTTTATCGCTAAGATTTACAGAATATGCTATGTAATACAATATTAAGGGATAAAATCTTTTCATGACCATTAAAATTTGACACACTCAACAGAGTAATGAATTTATTCCCACACCCACGAGCCTTTAAGACCGTTAGGTTATGGTACCCACAGAATTTAACGGTACAGTAGGCCTACATTTAGATTTTAAAAAATGAATATGAAAAACAAACTAATATGACAACCGTTACAAATATTGAGTAGAATAAAATATGATAAATTCTGAATAAGGAAAAATTCGTCCCTTGCATATATACTTGAATATATTTACCACAATACTTCATAGTGCTTTGATGTCTAGCACATTTATTTGTTTCAACCATTAACCATTACACATTTCAGAACTTCATTTCAAAGTGTATTTTAATATTTTCCATTTCATATTATCGGTTCTCAACTTTTTACATTAATTCACGTCTTAATTTTATCATTTTTATATTTCTTCCAAATTACATTGGATATTTCCAAGGCTTTTATATAATTGCGTATATTGTTATTATTACCATTAGTATCATTCTTACTATTGTTGTCATTATGATAATCATAGCAATAATAATGAAAATAATAATAATAACAATGATAATAATAGTAATAATGATAATAATTATGTTAGCAATAATGATAATGGCAATACTAATGATAATTATTATTTTTATTGTTATGATAATAAATAATAATAATAATAATAATAATAGTGGTAATAATAACAATTATAATAATAATTATGATAATAATTACTACTATAATTTTTATCATCATTACCATTAGTATCATCATCACTAGGATTACTATAATCATTTATTATTATTACTATTACTATTACAATAATGATTATTATTATCATTACCATTGTTATTATTTTTCCATTACCTTTATCATTATCATTGTTATTATTTTTCCATTACCTTTATTATCATTATTATTGTTATTATTGTTATCATTATCAATATTATAATTGTCATTATCATTTTTATCATGAACACTTATTAATGACACATATTATCATTTTCATTTTTTTTTCTGTTATAAACGTTATTATTCCCATTATCATTACCTATATTATCATTGTTATTACCATTATCATTGTTATTATCAATGCTATTATGATATTTATTAAACATTATTAATGATTATCCTCATTTTGATAATTCTTGTAATAAGAAATGTTACTGATGTCAACTTAAGTAAATAGCTATAAATGTAACCCATAGCTTTATCTCCTTTATTTTCATCATTATCACCACTGTTATTGCCATCATTATTGTTACTATTATGATTGTTATCATCCTCCTCATCATCATATTTCTGTCACTATCATTACCATTAGAATTATCATTATTATTGTTAATATGATAATCACCATTATCACTGTCAATACCACTATCATCTTTTTTACCATAATTATTATCGATATTAATGTCGGTCGCATAATTTTAGTTTCTGCCGCCAACATTTACAACACAAAATAAAGTGTGAAATTAGATTTTAATATTACCAACTTTTAATCTAATTAATCTTCTAACCCGATTAATCAATTAGTAGCACTGCCACCATCCGGGTTTTGTTTCAAATGAGGAGGAATCCCCGCCCCCAAAAAAACGCCTTATTATGGTATTAATTTGGTAGCTTGGCACGGCAGTCTAGGCAGACATGGGGTGGTTGGGTCTTCTCAATGTTTGGGTAATATTAATTGAATACGGTGTAGACAAAGATCATTCCAGTTTGGAATATTTATTTCTATGGCAAGAAAATTGATGGTTACATTGATGGAATTCTCGCCATCATATGTTGAGGGAACAAAGTTTATATTTACTCTCCCTAGTGTAAACAAAAGGAAACTCAAACTGTGTTTAACCTTGACTAAAGGATTACTATTTCACTTCCCATCCCCAGTACCATATTCTGAGCATAATCTCCCCTGCAAGGAACAACACTGATTAAATGAATTAGACTTACTGATGATAAATAAGTATAAGTAAACAGAGTATGATTTGCTGGACTGGGGGGAGGGGATAGGCCTTCTCCTGACAATGTCAATAACTCGCAGAGTAAACGTCTACCTTGCCACCTTAGTGGAAGTGGTTAGATCCTCACTCCGATGGTCCTAGGGGCAGAGGTGTGATGTTTTCTCGGGCATTGTCGGGGGCTCCTAAGAAGGCCGCCTAGGGTAGTGTCCCCAACTGGTTGGCTCCAGCATCTCCCTCAGTTCTTTCCCTACCGATGGGGCAGTCCCGAGCAGAATAAATCACACATTACATATATATATGGGTATCCCCCCCCCTTATTACGCACTTTAATGCTCCCCCTTTTCTCTTTTTATCACTAAATTTGGCCTTGACAAGAGATGCTCTCTCTGCCTTACCTGCCGATGGGGCGATCCCAAGCAGAATGAACCGCCCTTGTCTCTCGCCCGGAGGCATCCCTCATTTTCCGCTATTTCTCCGTGCCTCACTACTTTTCCCCTTGAATTCCCCAGTCCAGCCTCATGAGATCGAAAATAGAATCCCCCTATATACTTGACTACACTTTACTGAACACGAGATTTTTCTATATTCAAAATAAAGTTCAATAGATGTGGCAATGCCCCATCAACGTTCTATGCTTCTAGAAGCCCATTGAAAGTATTCAAATTTTTAATGTCAAATCAATGATTTTGACACTAATACCATCATAGCCTACTTTTAGTAAGTATTCGTAACCATGTAAACTATATAATGTGATGATGATGATAATGATAATAACAATAACAAAAATAGTAATTATGATAACAGAAACCATAACACTGATAATTATAATAAGAATAACACGTCACAATCAGGGATATTAAGGCAGA